AAACCGACGTTTCTCCATCTACATATATGTTTGCCTTTCCACGTGCAAGATGGACATGGACTGCACGTTGTTGGCTCATTTCCTAACTGTTTAGCTCTAGATGCTGGTATAAGAGTGAGGAAGAATAAAAAGGAAAAGGTAATTTTGTGGCACCTATTTCTCCATTGGTCAATACCAGTTACACTTCGTATTCTTTTGTTTTTCACATGGTTATCTTTGTAGAAAAAGAAAATGCAGATAGCAAAGTATAACGAAAAGGCGATGAAAGGGCTGAAGGCTCTATTTTTCTCATATAGTATTTATGGTATTTTGTTATTAGTACCTAGATTGTGAACACAAACCCTGCTACGACAAAACTGTGAAAGAGGCAAGTTCAAACCATCCAACAAGCAAGAAGTTGTGTTAATTCACAAGATAAAACAAAGACAAATTGCAAAGGTGAGAGGAATATATATGTCATAGATTACAAGAGACATTTCCGTGTACCTGTCCGTAAACAACTTGATTTAAATCACTTAGTGATGGAGTCTTCTCCATTAACCGTGCCTGTAATGTGACAATCCACATATGAGAACCACGTAGAGTTACATCAATACAACAGAACTGTTAAATGAATACAAGTTTAATGATCGAACTTAGAATTGTGGAAAAGAAGCAACATCAAACCTTAACCCCTCCAGGAAAACAAAAGGAAGCTAAATCTTTCAAACGCATATCTAGACGCTTCCCAGGAGGATATTTGAAAAGTATCTGTAGGTCCAGTAAAACATTCAGGAAACATATAAATTATCATTGCACGCCAGAAGAGAAAACAAAGTCCGTGGGAACTTCTTATGCAGTTATACACTCAACCTGAGGTTCTAATGTAGGAATTGGAGGTCCCCGCTGCTGTAGCAATTTAAGGTCAACAATTCCAGAGTTTATCATCTCCATCTCCCATTTCTTTCTTTTAACAAATGCATCCTCCACAGTTTCAAGGTTAGCATCCGGATGAAGCCCCGCAATAATAAAATGCTCAAAGAGTGAAGTTGGCTCGGTATATCTTATATGGCCCTAGAATATCATAATCATAAACTTTAGTTAATTAGACAGACAATTAAACCGATCAAGAACAGAGCTTTTTTAAGCAATAACATTCAAGCATCATCAGGGAAACCGGTTCCAAGATTTTCATATGGATCGATACATTTAATCATTTGCTTTTTCCAGTTTCGATGTCTAACTATGCAATCAAAAATCCTATATCTATATTCATGTACAAAGTATCCGAAAAAGGTAACTTTCTTACACAATAGTATAAACCCACTGAATTTACTATTACTCGATAGCATGAAATTCTCGAGTAATAAAGTTCGGTTTTCTCTTTTCCTTTTTGTGTAAGTCACAATGTATCAAGCAGTCCCATAGAAAGAGTACCTTTGATTTGGAGTGAAGCTGATACCACTGGCGTTTTTGGTTTGCCAAAACCTCAGGATTGAAAGCCAACCGCAAATCATCCCGCGAATTTCCACCCCATCTCCACGCCCTCTGCATCTGATTTTTCAATTTCTGGAAGCTATTGCTCCGTCTGTGTCCCGTAGTTGCAATTTCACTTCGGGAGCGCCTATGCCCCGGTGCCAAAGGTGGCATGCTCGAATTACCCGGGACCACATTTTGCAGTGTTTCCCCTGCCACTTCAAGTGCCTCCTCAGATATTTCCTGCAAAACCTGAATATGCGACGGAGGCTGCTCTTCGTATGCTTCAGCATCTTCTTTACCCTCCATTTTAAAACCCTTATCTCATCTTCGTAAAATGCTCATTTCACCGAATTAATACTCCATCGCTCCATTGCTTAAAAAATCCCAAACCAGCATACATTCAACCCATTTCACTACTTCTTCTAACTCCGATAACATGCCAACACACAATAACAAGGCCCAGATGCAAAAAAAAAACACAAAATCCGAAACGATTCTCTCCTTAAATGTGTTTGATCCTCGATTTCGCGAAAACCCGCATCACAGAAGCATTCAATCTACTCAAAAAAATCCACAAATTTATGTCCTTGTGACATAAACTCCATTATTCTGCATGCAAGTTTTGAACTTTTTAATCAGGCAAACAACATGCACCCTGAAAAATCCCAACAGAATATGAAGCAAAACACAAAATTTGATATAAACACAATATAAATGCGGAGAAATGTAGGGCAAAAAAATCAAGCATTTATGAATTCAAATGTATTTCAAAATTTGTGAAAATGGTATCATGGTTTCATTGATTTGTAACTGAAACAGAAGATGAAGGGGCATATTGGATGGTAACTGGCATGAGAAAATTAAATACAAGGATGCAAATTAATAAGAAAAAATGAATAAATAAAAAATCATATCAGACTGGGATTTGAGAAATATTAGTACCTCCTTTTTCTTTGGTTTCAAATGTATTGTTCTTCAGAGAGAGAGAGAGAGAGAGTTGCTAAATTTGGAATGGGGTTGTATGAAAAGAGAGGAGAGGAATTATTTATTTAGGAAGAGGTCTGTGAGAGCAAGGGGCGGAAGTTGGACACAAACACAAGGGAGAAGGACAACTCAGGTAAAAATCGAAACTCAGAGAATATCAGAAACCACCCCTTGATTTTTACATATTTCCCTATTGCACCATCCAGACATTTTAAATGGTATAAAAAAAAGGTATTGAGATTATGAACAATATTATAATTAACTGTATATTATCCATGCTTTTGCATTCCTCACTTGCCACTTTCATGGCATGTGGCACATGTTGCTAAAATGGAAGACTCGTGTCCTAGCTTTTTTTTACTCTAAAAAAGGTAACAGTCTATGACGAGCCATCTATTGTTAAATTAATGATATATCATGTAAAATACAGATCTAATATTCGTCTTAAACTATTAAACACAGAAGAATGAATCATGTCTTAACTTTTCAAGTTACTTTTTAAGAAACTGTTTTATGTTCTCTTTTGTTTCTTTTTTGTTTGTACTTTGAAATTAATTTTAGAGAACGAGTCTTTTATTAAGATTATAGTTTTATTTATGATTTTCACATTTGAATTTGATTAATTATTTGGCTACCCGTTGTACCATTTATATATTATCTTATAGTAATTCAATAAAACTCTTTATTCCTATAAAACAAAGAAAAAGGTAGGTTGCTAAAATGGAATCGACCTAGTACAAATTATGTGAAACTAATATCGATGAGCAGTAGGCTTAGAAAATTATGTGTGTTTTTTTCACTCTAATACATAGAGAAAAGTTACATGATTTATTCTTGGTAAGTTAAATATATTTAATTTAATTCTTTAATGCATAAGTCCCATTACAACCAATAGAATAAAAAATAAAATTAATTTTGATTATTTTTTCATAGCTAATGTAACTCTAGGCCCAACAAAATATTAATATAAATATTTGACATATTCTTGGAAAAAAAAAAACAAAAAGATATAGCACTTGTATTCAATTTACTACATCAATCATCAAATAAAATTTTAACATATTATATTTAATATCTCCTTTCCGATGCCCTTGCTTTCTCATATGTCATACACATATATTTTCATGTCAAATCTAAATCCAAGTGTTGGATTGTCTTAATGGGTGTGTTTATGATATTATCAGAAACCTCAAGGCCTAAAACGCAATTATAAAAAAAAGTGGAAAGTATCATAATTGCAATAATTTGCAATACCGAGAAAGTGTATTTTGACTTCGACATCCAACGTGTCGCATGCAGAAAGTACCCCACTTCCACCAGACAAAACTGTCAATGTAGTGGGTCCGGATATCGAAAAGCCGTTGCGATGCGATGGTGTTGTAAGCCGTCCGATCCTGACCGTCGAATATGCCCCGATTTAAATAAAATAAATTAATAATTAGTCGCGGGAAATCCTCCTAGGTTGTACAGATCAGCACGTGCCTTTTTCTCGGTACTTGTTTATTAAAATCGTCTTTTGGCGCGCGATTCTGGAACCGTTGATTACAAAGACAAGTGAGTCAATGAGACTTTACGGGAAAGATCCTCATAAACAAAAGTTAATTAAAAAGAATGATTAAGCATTGAACCTACTGCCTACGCGGATTAATTTTAATTTTAATTTTAATTTTAATCATGCGTCGATCCCCACCCGATCCACCGCCCATGAACAATAAGGGGGTAGCTAAATATATTTTACTCATTTACATTTAGGTAGGTTACGCATCGTAATCAAAATGAAAAAAAGAAGTTTGATTTCGACTACGAATTATTTTTATGTTTACTAAGATATTAAAGAATCAAGATTGTGTAGGGATCACATGAAAAATGGAATCCAACTCTTTTTTTTGGAGAATTTTTTTTTTTTTTTAACAAACAATGTTATTTACGGGGGTGGGAATGAGCTAAGCTTCATAATAAGGTTAGCAATAATGAGATTTAACTTCGCTTTAACTTCTATGGTTGGGAGATGGGAATCGAAAGTTCATGAGTTGGGGGCAATTAGGAATTCATTATGCAGCTTAGCCCACGAATTGTCTACGCAATACACTCGTATCTTTGAGTTTTCTAATAAATTTGTACGTAGAATAAACATAGATGTCAGATGTACGATTCACGTGTTTGTGCGGTCACACGTATACAAACCAGATCCCTCCAATTGGGCAACTTTAGCAGGCTTACAATCAACCAATTCAAGCCCATCGTCATACCTTGCACGAACCACGACCACAAGGCCTGCATGACCCAACATCATCTACGACACTCCCTTCGTAGCCGTAAAAGTGGGCGAGACAAAATTCTGTCCTTCCTTCTTAGTTCCAAAACATGCCCCCTCACAAGACCGCAAATTCCAACAATATCCCTAACCTTCCTCATGGGGTCGATGTAAAACGACTTTTGAGGAGCTGAGTCACTTCTCACTCCTCATCAGTTTCTCTCTTTCTCTCCGCCAAAATCGACGATCCATTTTAAACCCTAACATTTTTCTCTGTCTCGCTCAATTCAAAACCCTAAATGCGCTTCCTCCACCCTTCAACTTTCCCTTTACAGATAATTTCCCGGGAAATTCTGGAAATTTTCCCGGAAATCCAAGGCTCGCCCATTTTCATGTGGTTCGAGCATTGGCGTCCATGATCCATTCTTTTGTTTCTTCACAACCATGTGTCGAATTTTCCAGTTCAAGAAAAAGTTCGAGATTTTCTTCAAACCCTAGTCTGTGAACTTCAATCAGCGATGGATCCGGGTCCAATCTACATAAGCTCCGATGACGAACTGGGTTGGACCGACCTGGATGAGGAGGACAACTTTGATTGGGTATCGGACCTTCTGGAATCTGCCGACAAGGTAACTGATGATGATGATGATTCCGATGACGTTGTGGTGATTAGTGAGGTCAACTCCAAGTCCAAGAAAAAGTCTTCCAAACGGACGGTTGCGGATGTGGACGATGATTGTGTCGTCTTGGACGGTGACCCGGATAAGCCGGTTTCGGTGGTGGAGGATTCGGGTAGCGGCTCCGACGAGTTGCTTGTGGTTGGGGAGAAGGGGCAGGTATAAATTCGACCCGGTTTATGTTTGAGTATGAATTGCGTTGTTTGGTTTGTTTAGTTTACTCTGAATTGGAAGTTAGAGAAAGAAAACTAAGATTCTGTTTGGTCTCTTATTTGAAATTTTTTATCATTTCTCAACATATTTCTGAAGAAAATTTCTTGAAAACAATTTTCTTTAAGACTCAAAAATTTGATTGGTTTACAATTTAAACTTGACAAAGAGATTTAAAAAGAGGCGATCATAGGAGAGGGAGAAAGAGGGGAGAGAGAGGAGGAAAGAAAGTAAGAGATAATTGAAAGAAAGAGAAAGAAGGGAGATTATCAGACAAGATAGAAAGGAAGATGAGTGAGAGGAAAAATTGAGAGAATAAAGAGAACAGATTGGAAGATAGACGAAAAAAGGTAAAAGAAAAAAAAAAAAAAAAAGAGAGGAGGAAAGAGAAAGAAGAAAAGAGAGATAAATTTGGAGTGAGAATGGACGAGGGAGAGAAAAGAAAATAGTGTGTTTAAGTTTAAAAATTCTAAAAACTCACTTTTTATGTTTTTAGATAATACACTATATTTTTGAGTTAGCTTTGAGTTCAGTTTTTTAAAATAGTCCTACCAAACAAGTTTTTAAGGCCTAAAACTTGAAAACTGTTTTTGAGTTTAAAAAGTTGGATTCAATTGGAGTACCAAACATGCCCTAAATGCTTTGGAAGTTTTTTATTGTTGGTTTGATGAGAGGAGTTAAAGAAATTTAATTTAACCGAAGGGTTGCAGTTATCGCAGGTTAGTAATTTTTCGACTTGTGCTTAACTCTGTTTGGTTGCCAAGAAAATGTAGCAAACGGATTAGTTATGGCGTTATTTTTTGGGTTAGGCTAGTGATATTGTTGTCATATGAAAGAGGAACAATCCAAGCCTTGTTTATTCTACTTTTCGGGACTACCTTTCTTGTAAGGGAGAATTAATTGTGGATGCATCGGAATCGTTTAGACATATTTCGAATTTTGTCCCATTGTCTGTGAAGTACAAGCTTTGGTGTTTCTGCATGATATTGTTTCTCAGACATAGTTATCTTGATATTCTTGTTTTACGGTGAAAGCCCTTTTCTTGGTTTTTGGTGACCTTGATATTGAAGTTCAATGGGTTTAAGGTAGTTCCCCTTGGATCGTGGGTTTTTCTTGGCTTAGCTTGTATTTGGCGTTGTTTGCTTGCTTGGCCACTTCATCTTTCAGTCTGTTATTATTTTCTTATGTTAAAGTTGTTTCTCATGTACAGGACTGCAGCACCATACATTGTCTAATCCCTTAATTTTTGTATTATTTAGAAAGATGTACGCACCTTTCGCTTTTCCAGTTTTAATTTATCTTATTTCTTTGGTTGCAGGTAGCATGTAGAGACTACCCTCATCCACGACATCTTTGTGCCAAATTTCCTTTCAAAACTACTAGGCACGAGAACCACTGTGATCTTGTGAGTTGACTCTTACAAGCTGTTGCTTATAGAATTTCCATCAAATAGTATTTTCTTGCCTGAATTTGACAATATACCACATGATTTCTTATTTTTTTATCTTCTACTGAACTGTAGTGTCACTGTTATGTCTGTGACTCACTGGCGCCATGTGTACATTGGAGCACTCGAGGCTCCAACTTTGATCATTGTCATGCCACGGATAAAGAAGAGACATGGAAAGTACTGAGGAAAAATTTCAAGACAGCGAAAACTGCACCATTATCAGCTTCAAACAATCTGGCACCGACTACACATGGTCCAGTTCCACCACTCAATATTATTCGGTTGGCACCTAATTCTTTACCAGAGAGTCAGGTTTCTAGAACAGCTACAATCCGCCCTTGCACCTCAGCTGGTCGTACCATGCCTGGAATCAGAATTCCAAGCAGAAGTCACCAACCAGAATATCTTTTCCCTAAGAACAAAGTCCAACCTTGTTCAGTTTCTAAGCAGTTGCTTGGTGCACGCACTAATGTTGTTGGGAGGAACAGAGGTCAAGATATTGGTCATTTAGGGCCTGTCTCTTCTCATTCAATGTTCAAAAGAGTAGGAGCTGTTGTGAACCGAACTGCATTTGTTTCGTCAAATAACAGTAGTTGTACCACTCCATTAATATACAACAGTACTTCCACTCCCATGGCAACATCAAATGGCGGAAACCCCTTGTGGTTGCAGGGTGTTCATTCTAGTGTGCATCAGAACGCCTCCCAGCCCATGACCACTTTCGTTGGAAATACAGTGCCCTCCCAACGCCAAACATATAGTCAGGCCATCCCCCAATCAATTTACGGCCAAACTTTTCAACAGCAAGGGAATCAAGGTCAAAATGATAGCCAATTTATTTCTCAGTACGCGATACCAAGTCCGGATTCCAGTCAAGGTATATATCAGTATGGGAATCAGAGTCAGAATTCTAGTCTGCAAGGTAATCTAGGTGTAAGTGTCACAGATTTGGATTTTACGGATTGTAACTGGGTTAACACTTCCAGTCCAAACATTCAGCAGCCTCCAATTCAGCAACCTCCTATTCAGCAGCCTCCAATTCAGCAACCTCCTATTCAGCAGCCTCCTGTTCAGCAGCCTCCGCTTCAGCAGCCTCCATTTCAGCAACCTCCCATCCAGCAACCTCCCATTCAGCAACCTCCTGTTCAGCAGCCTCCAATTCAGCAACCTCCTGTTCAGCAGCCGCCGCTTCAGCCTCCATTTCAGCAACCTCCCATCCGGCAACCTCCCATTGAGCAACCTCAGTTTCAGCAGCCGCCTCCTATCCAGCAACAGCCTCCCATTGAACTTTCTGAAATTCAAAGCACCGAGCCTGTATATGAGCCAGCTCCCGTCAATGAGCAGTCTAACAAAGTCGCTAATTTCAATGGTTTGGAATTTGAAAGCTGGCTCTTGGAAACCCAGTATAGTCCAGCAGAATCAAATAATGCGATGGCATCTCATCTGAACATGTTGTCTCCCGAGCCGACTTTTATAGACTCACTCGTGTTTGATTTTGAAACCCCCTGGAATGGTCTGGCTCAGGTATAGTCGACTGTCACTGTTAGTCCTTCCCTAAAAGCGGGAAGCTTATATGTACGTAGGTGAAGTGACTCTCACTTGTCTAGCGTTTGAAACGAAAAAGTTGTTTGACACAAGTTGTGATTCCGCAAAACAAGGCTGGTTGTGAGGAGCTTTGGTAAGTGTATAGGTGTTTGAAGAAGTGGTGTGCAAAGTATCCCTAGGTTGGAGATGCTGTATAGAGGCTGGTTGTTTCCCAAAGCTTCTGCTAGTTTATTATTTCTGGGTTTCTCATATGCTTGAAATTATAGGCTACTTCGTTCCTTCTTACTGGTTTTTTTTTTTTTTCCTACCCTTTTGGGTTCCCAAAGAAGATTGAAAATGACTAATAAAAAGTTGATGCTAGGGTTTGCTTATGGAAATAGGTAAAGCTGTTTTCTGACAATCAAATGTTTGAAGTACTTTTATGGAAAGCGCCTGCTAGATGCTTCTTCAGAATACTTGAAGTGCTTTTTCAATAAGCATTTGAATTTTAATGATACATAAACAACTTTATACGAGGCATTGGGCCGTGCGTAAAGTAGTTCCAACCTTGGTGGCCACACCAAGATGATTCCGAAGAACAAACCGTACAGATGGTTTCACTTTGCAAGAATTTCGAATCATTCTCTTGAAACTCATCATCTTCATCATAAATGATTCGCTTGCCCCCTAAAGACAGAAAAGAAAACAGAACAAAAATTCGATAAAAGCTATAAGCCACCAAATTTGATGAAAAAAAAAAAAGAGCCAAAAACTATAATACGTATCTCTCTCTTGGCACATCATTCTGACGAAGTGTTGGTCGATCAGCTCAATGCAACCGTCTACCAGCGTATAGATCGATCGCCCGTGAGACCCCAATGTTCATCTTCCATCGAATAACTTGTAATGTTATGTGAAGGGAGAGAAACACACGAAATTATGTTGCACATGAGTGTACAAGTCTGCAGACATTAGAGTGAAGAACGCTCTGCTTCTCTCTCTGTGTAGTTGCCCATAGCAGCAGAACAACAAAGCATAGCAAAGAGGCGAATTTCAAGTAAGAAATGGCGCTACTGATGGAAAAGGGGTCCCAACCCCAAACCGAAAGCGAAAGGGCCGACCTTGACGCCATTGAACTCAAGGTCCTCGCTCTCTCTAGTACTACACAACAGTATCATATCCATTTCGCTTTTTCATATATTGGGTTTGGCAGGAAAAGGGAATCGAGGGTGTGAAAAAAGGGAAAAAGCATTTTTCTGAAGCCATAGATTGCTACACGAGGGCAATCAATCAGCAAGCTTTGAGCAGTTCCGACACCTCAATTCTCTTCATCACATTGCGAAAACGGGCTTAAACATGACCCGGGTAACGAAGAGCTGAAGAAGCTGTTGAGGCAGATTGAGTTGAAGAAGACGGAACATGAGCAGCGTGAAGCTCAAGTTTCAAAGGCAATTGCAGGGGCTAAGGTTTGATTACAATACTAATGGAGTAATGGGATGATATACTTATGATTCGACTGTTTGTGATTATTCTCAATCTTGTCTTTGTTTGTTTGTTGGAATAATGCAGGACCTTGTTTCCGCGATTGAAAGTCGAGGCATGAAGCTTGGGAAGGCAATGTATCGAGAGCTTACTGGATTACAAAAGCCTGTACTAGACAAGAATAATATGCTTCATTGGCCAGTTCTTCTGCTTTATGCAGAGCTTATGTCCAGTGACTTCATTGAGGATTTCTGCGAGACGGACATGTTGTCAGCTCATCTCGACGTGATATCCTTCTTTCACTCAAAGTAAAACGAAGTTGCTTTTTGAAGAGTCTTCTCAGTATTTTGTAACATTAAACTTCTGTATCTTTGAGAATCCATTATTTATGATTTCTCCGTCATTGATTTTGACGGGCTGGTTCAGGAGTTTCTCTGACAAAGACAGAGTTCCTTCGTTGTCTCCTAAAGGGCACTCCAGCTTCTAATGTGGAAAGCATCAGTGACGAGCAAAAGGATGACAATGAGAATTCTATTGGTAGCAGCTCTGCAGGTAGGGTGCCTTACCATCATCTTTAGCTCATTTATCAGTAGTTCATTGATTATGCACTTCAAGTATTTGGCTATTAGGCTGGATATGATTTCCCAGTGCACTGAAGTAACTAATGACTGTTTCGGCGTGTGTGCGCTTGTGGAGTTTAAGCTATGAAAGGTCATATTATTGGTGGCCCCTGATAATATCCAATTTAAGCTTCTCCTCTTTGATGATTATTTTCCTTTTATCCTCTCCATGTCACTGTGTTGGGGTGTCCATCATTAGGCGTAATTATGCTTTCACTTGACTGCGATGGATATAATTTTCTTGGGTTTGTGGACTGGTAACCTTACGTGCTCATGCTCATACAAGATCAAAGACTGAACACAGGATTGGCCTTTTTGCCTAGTCTCTTTGAGATTAGTGTATACATTAATCTTGCTTTACCATGATAGCAAAGATGCACCGGGGAAAAGAAGAAAGTAGGAACGAACAGGCTATTCTGGATTAAGCATACAATTTGATAGTAATATACACAATCTCTCAGTTTCATTTGTTCTTTTACCAATTAAATTCACGTGACTTTATGAACTGGAAAATTTGTTTCAATTTTTTACCATTCAAATTGTTGCAGTCACCTATCTACTCACTAGTTACAAAGAAGCATTATCGACCCGCTTTCCCCAGGTTTTACTTCTCTCGGCAAGGTTCTGAACGCCCTTTATCTGATGTTCCTCAGGCAAAGGTTCCTTCTAAATGGGTCAAAGTAAACGAAAAGAGAACAGTTTATGACGTTCTGAGAGAACCTAACCTCCTCGTTCCAAGGATCCCAGGTGTGTCTTTAATTTATCACAGTCACCTTCAATTCAGATGGTATCTGTTTTGTTCCCTTGGTTTTCTTACCAGTTGATAAATAGGGTGGCGAGCATACACCACACTAAATGGTGGTGAGCAAAAGTGCTCCCAAATTTGTAGATGAATCGAGAATTGTTAATTTTTTTAAATTGCTTCTTCAATAATTAAAAACGTTTCATTTAACTTGGTTTAATTTTTGAAAATGTGTGATCTCCAATATAGGAATATCAATTATTTCTACGCGTACTTGATGCCCACTAGTCTTCTTTCCAATTGGAATTCTCTTAGAATCTCCAAGAAATTGGGATTTTTTTCCACAATAAATACCCCTTCACGTTCTCCACCCATCTCCCATATTTCCACCTCCCTCCTTCACCCTCCGTCATGGCGGCTGCTATTTCTTGCTCACCCACCGACCTCCGACCCCTTTTGGGCGCAGCTGCCAACGCGAGTGCAGCTGCAGAATACATCTGCAGCCGCTTTGATGCTGTGTCAAACAAGTTTGTCGACACAGCCTATGCTGTGGACAACACCTATCTTCTGTTCTCTGCCTACCTTGTTTTTGCAATGCAGTTTGGGTTTGCCATGCTCTGCGCAGGATCAGTTCGCGCGAAAAACACCATGAACATTATGCTCACCAACGTCCTTGACGCTGCAACGAGCAGCATCTTCTACTACCTCTTTGGATTTGCATTGGCCTTTGGCAAACCGTCAAACGGTTTCATAGGGCAGCACTTCTTCGGCCTCAACAAGTTTCCCTCTCAATCTTTCGATTACGGTTACTTCCTTTATCAATGGTCTTTTGCCATTGCAGCTGCTGGGATCACAAGTGGTTCCATTGCTGAACGAACCCAATTCGTCGCGTACTTGATCTATTCGTCCTTCCTGACTGGATTTGTCTACCCAATTGTGTCCCATTGGTTCTGGTCTGCTGACGGATGGGCTAGCCCGACACGTGCTGACAATCTCTTATTCGGGTCTGGGGTCATTGATTTCGCAGGCTCCGGCGTTGTTCACTTGGTTGGTGGCATTGCTGGCTTGTGGGGTGCCCTAATTGAAGGCCCCCGCATTGGACGTTTTGATCAAGAAGGCAGGTCCGTGGCAATGCGTGGACACAACGACACATTGGTTGTTTTGGGCACATTTCTTCTCTGGTTTGGTTGGTATGGCTTCAATGCTGGCTCTTTCCTCAACATCCTAAAGGCATACAGAACAAGCGGATCATATTACGGGCAATGGAGTGCAATTGGAAGAACTGCGGTCACAACCACACTCGCTGGATGCTCAGCAGCACTCACTACTCTCTTCGGAAAGCGCTTGCTCTCCAGTCATTGGAACGTTACTGATGTCTGCAAGGGTTTGCTTGGTGGGTTTGCAGCAATCACTTCTGGCTGCTCGGTTGTCGATCCTTGGGCTGCAATCATTTGCGGGTTTGTGGTAGCTTGGGTTTTGATTGGGTGCAACAAGCTTGCTGAGAAGTTGAAGTATGATGATCCGCTTGAAGCAGCACAGCTCCATGGGGGGTGTGGCTCGTGGGGGATTATTTTCACGGCATTGTTTGCAAAAAAGGCTTATGTGAATGAGATATATGCAGGGCAGCCAGACAGGCCGTATGGGCTTCTGATGGGCGGTGGCGGAAAACTACTGGCGGCGCATTTGGTCCAGATTGTGGTGTTTATAGGGTTTGTGAGCGTGACAATGGGGACATTGTTTTTCTTGCTTCACAAGTTAAAGCTCTTGAGGATTTCAACTGAGGTGGAGATGGCAGGAATGGATGTCACAAGTCATGGTGGATTGGCTTATGTGTATAACGATGAATTCAGCTATCCGGCAACACCAAAACTGGGCTCAAACACAGGCACTACTCAATCTGTTTGATTTGAATTTGATATTGTTCCCGCACCTTAAATCTTCGGATGTAATATGTAGTTTGGTAAATTAGCTAGGTACTTAATGAAATATGCAGATTGCTAAGTGTTAATTTATAGTCTTCAAAATCCATGCACAACTTACATAACATTCAGGGATACACAATCATTCATTCACCGCTATTTTATCGACATGATTGATCGACGGCAACCGCGACGGTGGCACACACTATTACAATCTTCAACTGGCAGCCGGAAGTTCTAAGTTCAAGGTGATATAAACTGATAGGAGGCATACGAAAGAGCACCGAGCTCCCAGCTATCGTGGATTTGCCAAGCCTTCGCACCCGGACCAGCAGCCTCCACCGCCACATGCAGCGGGTAAATGTGATCCGGCCAAGGGTGCGCCATTTTCGCATGCGGCGCCTTCGCCACATACTTGTTCACATCCTCGTACCTTCCTTCGAGAAGAGTGTCCTTGACCCACGTGTCTACCTTTCCAACGCCTTTAAGTTGTCGGTGGCGCTGCACAACCCCACTATAAGGACGTTCTCGTCATTGAGTGGATCCAGCGCCCTCCCCATGTTGTAATGGTAAGTGGTGTCCCTCTCTGTCTGAATCGATAACTGGCAAACCGAGATATTTCTCTTCGGGTACATCAACATGAGCAATGTTGTAAATTTTGAAAAGAAATTTCATTGTCCCACATTGATCATTCCCAAAAGGTTTTCTCACTTTATAAGGCTTTGTCCCTTATAGAAAGTGATTGGAGTGACAGGCCTTGGAGAATAAAATTGGGCTAACTCTTAGGGTTGGGCTTTGGAGTGTACTAATTAATTGGCAATTAATATATATCAAAAGATGGGCCTTGGGGATATATTTCTTTGAGGATATATTTCCTTACAAAGAGAAGGAATCTGGTTCTAATACAAAAAGGATTCATGATCATAGTCATGATGAAGCATCTTCTTCTGGTGTCTAAGAAAATGGTGTGGAACAAAGAAGAGGAAAGAGAACCAAAGTTTCTAAAAACTTTGGACCAGATTTCATTGCTTACTTGTCCGAGAATTAAACCTAGAACTTTTAAAGAAGCAAGCTCTTGGGGATATATTTCCTTCAAAGAAAAGGAATCTGGTTCTAATACAAAGAGGATTCATGATCATAGTCATGACGAAGCATCTTCTTCTGGTGTCCAAGAAAATAATGTGGAACAAAGAGGAGGAAAAAGAACCAAAGTTTCTACAAACAATGGACCAAATTTCATTGCTTAATTGTCTGAGAATGAACCTAGAACTTTTAAAGCAGCAATGTCTTTTTCCGAGGCTCCTTTATGGAAGGAAGCAAGCTCTTGGTGATATATTTCTTTGAGGATATATTTCCTTACAAAGAAAAGGAATATGGTTCTAATACAAAGAGGATTCATGATCATAGTCATGATGAAGCATCTTCCTCTAGTGTCCAAGAAAATGGTGTGGAACAAAGAAGAGGAAAAAGAACCAAAGTTTCTAAAAACTTTGGACCAGATTTCATTGCTTACTTGTCCGAGAATGAACCTAGAACTTTAAAGAAGCAATGTCTTCTTCCAAGGCTCTTCTATGGAAGGAAGCAAGCTCTTGGGATATATTTCTTTGAGGATATATTTCCTTACAAAGAAAAGGAATTTGGTTCTAATACAAGAGGATTCATGATCATAGTCATGATGAAGCATCTTCTTCTAGTGTCCAAGAAAATAATGTGGAACAAAGAAGAGGAAAAAGAACCAAAGTTTCTAAAAATTTTGGACCAGATTTCATTGCTTACTTGTCCAAGAATGAACCTAGAACTTTTAAAGAAGCAATGTCTTCTTCCGAGGCTCCTTTATGGAAGGAAGCAAGCTCTTGGGGATATATTTCCTTACAAAGAAAAGGAATCTGGTTCTAATACAAAGAGGATTCATGATCATAGTCATGATGAAGCATCTTCTTCTGGTGTCCAAGAAAATGATGTGAAACAAAGAAAAGGAAAAAGAACCAAAGTTTCTAAAAACTTTGGACCAGATTTCATTGCTTACTTGTCTGAGAATGAACCTAGAACTTTTAAAGAAGCAATGTCTTCTTCCGAGGCTCATTTATGGAAGGAAGCAATTAAAAGTGAAATGGCATCCATTATGGAAAATAACACATGGGAATTGGTTGATTTACCTCCGGTAGTAAACCAATTGGTCATAAATGGATTTTCAAGAAGAAACTTAAGGCGGATAGAACCATTGACAAGTTCAAGGCACGTTTAGTAGCCAAGGGTTATTGCCAAAAGGAAGGGTTGGATTATTTCGACACTTGTTCTCCAGTTTCTCGCATAACATCAATTAGGATGTTAATAGCGATTGCGGCTGTGTACAACTTTGATATACATCAAATGGATGTAAAAACAATATTTTTAAATGAAAGAAATATACCTGGAACAACCTGAAGGGTTCGTGCTTAAAGGACAAGAAAGCAAAGTGTGCAAATTAGTTAGTCATTATATGGACTTAAACAAGCACCTAAAAAATGGCACGATTTGATCATACTTTGTTAACACATGGATTCAAAATAAATGAATCTGATAAATGTGTCTACATTAAGAGTAATGATAAAACTTGCGTTATTGTCTGGTTGTATGTGAATGATATGCTCATAATGGGAAGCAATAAAGATGTAATAAACAAAACAAAGAAAATGTTGAATTCAAGCTTTGACATGAAAGACTTAGGTCAAGCCGAAGTCATTTTAGGAATTCAAATTAAGAGAAATAGTGAAGGGTATGTCCTTACACAGTCCCACTATGCAGAAAAAATATTACGCAGGCTTGGTCAAATTGACTGCAAACCTACTGCAACTCCTTTTGATTCTGGATGCAAGTTGGAGAAAAAAAGAAAAAGAAAAAAAGCAATGCCATATCTCAACTTGAATATTCCCAAGTGATTGGAAGTCTAATGTACTTAATGAATTCAACTAGGCCTGACTTAGCTTATGCAGTAAATAGGCTTAGTATATATACAAGTAATCCGGCAGAAGAGCATTGAGATGCTTTAGTAAGAGTGTTAAGGTATTTGAAAAATACGATTGACTACGGATTACACTACACAAAGTATCCACCTGTTGTAGAAGGCTTCAGTGATGCCAATTGCATTTTTGACACTACAGAATCCAAGTCGACATCTGATTATTTGACAAAAAGCCTACCAAGAGAGCAAATATTATTTACATCGAGAGGAATGGGTCTTAAGCCAATTCAATCAATAAGACTGGGCGGAAACCTAACCTAGCTGATTGGAGATCCCATGGTCTAGGTTCAATAGGCAAACTGCTTGAGTTTGATTCAAATGTTGAACACACAACTTACCCATTCTTACGATAAAATGTGTGTTGTCTGTTGAAGTTTGAGGGGTTATGTTTTATACATTTAATGACATTAATATCTTGTTATCAAGAGGAATATGACAGACTATTCTTAATTAATGTCACCTATATAAGAGTAAATAGGGCCGCATTTATGAGAATTGAAATGGCTAAATTCTCTAAGGCTCCTACGAAATTCGGGATCTGTTCAGGGCCAAAATGAACACAACCGTATGAATTGACATATGGCAGACATAATATGTGTGTAGCATATTGTCTCGGTTTACTACTACGGTGAACAGTTCAAGATCTTCCACACCCACTGCGTCACCAAATAAACCCGATATGTTTTCACTAGGGTAAGTTCAAGTCCAAAAGACATTTCATCCGATGCATATCATGTCTATTCTCTCTCAGCTTTAGACGGCCTAGTCATACATTTGCATTCAAATGTGGGGTATTATTGGAGTTTGAATGAAATTTCAACTCAAATGTGGGGTATTGTTGGAAATTTTGAGTAGAAATTTCATTGTCCCACATTGGCCATTCCTAAAAGCTTTCCTCACTTTATAAGGCTTTATCCCTTATAAAAAGTAATTGGAGTGATAGGCCTTGGAGAATAAAATTGGGCTCACCTTTGGGGTTGAGCTTTGGGGTGTACTAATTAATTGGTAATTAATTATAATTATAATTAATTATCAAAAGATGGACCTTGGGCTCTAATAATTAAATTATTTATTTATTTTTGGATTTAATTAATTATTTATAATTAATTTCGAATTTAATTAATTAATTAATTTTTACCAACATACTCATATTTTCAGATGAAGTCTGAGGTGTGGTGAAAGAATGCAGAAAACAAACACCCCTCTAAGAAGATGTCTCCCAACAGACACATCCCTTCCTCATACCTGTTTCGAATAGGTACAATCATATTATATATACATTCATCTGCAAGGCATTTAGAACACAGAAAATATCAAATTCTTCTTCTACATTCCTAAACCTTCTTACTGAGAAAACCACACAAAAATTCACCAGAAGTTAAGTTTTCCGGTGCTGGAATTCTAATTTGATCGTTGAATCCTAGTGAAGCAAACGTCCGTAGAACTACAAGCACTGAGTAGGGACGAAATTTTTGTTTCAAGGATATTGCGGTACGCAAGCCTCGATCTTCAAGTTGTCTGTTTTTATATTTTTGTTTTGTTCATACTCTGTTAATTATTCTATTCGCTTTTATTATTTATTAGAATATATAATTTTACCACAGATTGTTGACATATATCCAACAAGCGGGAATAGACCTGGCAATTTCTTATACGACCCGTTCACACGACACGTAAACAACACGAAAATAATAGGTTTCGGGTCAACACAATCACTAATCGGGTCATTATTGGGCCACACGATAATAACGGGTCCTTAATAGGTTTACACGAGAATGACACGTAGGTAATGTCACAACCCGTCCCGGAATTTTAATTCCGAGGACGTGAAGTTATGAAAATGCCCTTAAACGGGACTAAGGGGCGTAAAATATGTTGTAATTTGATGATTTGGGGATTGGGGAGGATCCCACCTCCCTCAAATCTCTCCCTCATTCCCGTGCCTTGTCTCTCTCTCTCTCTCCTCCCTCACAAATCTCTCATTCTCTGAGAGTTCTCTCTCTCTCCTTCGAACTCACACAGACCACCCACAAACCACCCCAAAACTATGCCAACGAAGGATCTAAGACCACCATCGTACTCCTGAAGACCACACGAACACGATGGTACCAATTTCAGGTGAGTTTCACTTCGGAAAACATGGATTTCAATTTCACTGTGCGTGTGCACTGTTCATGCACACGTAAAGATTGATGTTTTTTGGGATTTTGAAGCTTGTAGGAAGCTTGGTGAGGTCCTAAGGAAGCTCGGAGTGCTTCGTTTGAAGGATTTGGACATCGGGATCACGAACTGTAAGTTTGGCCGAATTTTCGTATTTTTGGAAAAGTTTGATTCCGTTGTTTTTAGGCCCTAAAACTAGTCCAACGTGGTAGATTATGATTAGGGCTTCATTTTGGTATAAATTACGTGAAAAATGGACGTAGGAACACGGAGAACGACAAGTTCAAAGTTTGGCCGGAGCTGTCGGGGCTTTTTCCGGCGAAACCACGGCGAGTTAGGGGTCGAGACAGGTATGGATGTGTTCGTCTCGTCAATACCTTCATTTTGATATATAGTACGTCGAAAATGGTTAAGAAATGAAGAAGTTATGACACTTTGAAATTTACCCAGAAATTCCGGCAAAACACCATCTCCGGCGAAACCAGTCCGGCGACGCGAGGAAGAAGATGCGCGCGTGGGCAGCGCGTGAACAGTGCGCGTGGGGGCGCGTGAGAGCTCCAAATTGAGTTCTGAAAATTGTCACGCGTTCGTGACGTCGTGTAGATCACCGTGGTATATTCATACACCCAAATTGAGCAACGTATGAGAAAGTTATGGACGAATGTTTGGTGTATGCGCGTTAAATAACGTCAATTTGGTTACTTTTTGTATAGGTGAAAATTATACAGAGGAAGAATGTAACCAAGCTAGGGGAGGTTCAGGAACCTATGAGACGCCGATGTGATCAGTGAGTGGGCAGTTATTTTTCAGTATATATATATATACGTATGCTTGACGTATTTCCCAGAAAACGTATTTTAAAAGAAATACGAATTAATTAACCTGTCATATATGCATCATATTTTAATATGTGCATTACCATAATTATGCATACTGTTGCATGGTGCTGAGGAGGCCCAGGTAAGCTACGATTGAAATACTATCATCACATGCATTAGTAGTGGCATATATTTATATATGTGTATTTAGTGCTGTGGACGCACAGGTAAGTGCCAGGTAAGTGGTATTCATGTTGTTATGCAGTAGTAGTTTGAGATGTTAGAGAGCTCATAATCTGCACCCCGGTGTTAGTGCTCCCGCCCAGGGCCAGGGCACAGTCCTTCACGTGATGTTCACCAGCACCACACGCTCGCCTTGGATCCAAGTAGGTGCAAGCCTTGTCGTACAGACCACATTAGGTGGTTCCGACTCGTAGGTGACCCGCGATTATTCGCACAGTCTTCACGTGATCGTAGCACTAGAGCGTATATATTACACCCAGTCCTGTCGTACAGACCACATTAGGTGGTTCCGACTCGTGTGCAGATTCAGATATTGAGTTGAGATTGGAGCTCTATCTGCAGCCGTACAGGTCACGTTAGGTGACTCCCGGCTGCCAGATTATATGTTATTGATGTGAATTACGCTTGAGCACTTACATTTGATTATGAGTTTCCGTTGTGGCATATTCTCGAGCATGAATGGCATATTTATGAGCATGAATGATATATCTTTGAGCATGACTGGCATATCTATACATACGTATATATGTTATTTTCTGGGAAACTATACTTGTTTTACAGCGAGGGGTTAGTATATGCAAAAGAGAAAAGAAGGTTTTGAATACGTTCGTTTTGCTGACCCACTCAATTTTGTTTTGCGCCCCTCCAGGTTTAAGGAAATGCAAAGGTGTGGTGACTACGAGGAAATTCAACGGTGTTCTGACAGAATGGCCAAAAATTAGGACTCACCTTTGGGTGTTTCATCTTAGAAATTGTATCTTTAAAGCTTCCGTACTGTGTAAATGGTTACGTCACTCTCACGTGACGGCCAGCATGCCCTCCTTCGGGACGGGGTGTGTCAAGTTGGTATCAGAGCCTAGTTTCAATCTTGGACATCTTGAGAAGTTCTAGTAAATTCTGTCAGAACTACACCGCCTCGTAGCAAACCACGTAGTTAGAGGAATTTAGTCTCCCTGATTTAGCTGTTAGGGGAAGCTATTATTTTGGTGATTCAGTATATTATCAAAAAGGGACATTTTAAGATGGGTTATGAGTTGAATTTGAATCACCTTATGAAATGATGAACTTGAGGGAGCAAAGTGATGGATTAATCATTTGGAAAAGATGTTTTGGATTATGCAAGTCAAAGGAATCTTCCTTTTGACAGAAGGGTTGAGACGACTACATGGTTTGAGTTATGAACTTGTATCCTGGTGGAAACAGGAGTATAATTCGTTGTCACCAAAGGAAACAGCCGATTGAGAATTGTTTAAGGATTTGTTTAAAGAAAAGAATTATTTCCTTTGGCATCTTATGATGGTAGAAAGCAAGAGTTTGCAAATGTGAGACAAGGAAAGCTGACGATCAATGAGTATTATAAAAAGTTCTCAGACTTGCCTCGTCCCATTTGAATATTGCTGCTATTTTGATTGAAGTGTTATATTGCTTTAGGCTGGGTGGCATAAGGCAATGGTATTTTGGGTGACCACTATCCATTGTAATTCTTATCAGGAGTATACAAGGTGTTGTTGAGCCTTAAGGACTCTGAGAACATGTTCAGCGAGAGTAAAGAAGAATGATAAAAGAATGGGAATCAAAAGAGGACGATAAAGTTAATGATTCGTCATAACAAGAATATAGAAAGATTCGGAACTTCAAAAGAAGTGAAGCTAATTCTAGTTCTTTTGGCAAAGGTTTTAATGCCATTGACCAGAGGCGAAGTGATAGATGTATTGGTAATCCCAGATATCAGAGACAAGGTGATTTTGGTAAAAGAAATGTACCTTTGGGCTGTAGGTACAATAATGGACACCTTTGAGAATGTAGGCGAGAAAGCAGTGGACGCTCTACAAGTGGATAGATGGGACATAAAACTGCAAATTATGTCCAAAGCCAATAGAATCCCTAGCAGTCTTCTTTGCCACAACTGGTGTCGATCCAGCAAGTTCCTGGATCTATTAATTATGGTCAGTTAGGCCGTGGTGTACATGAAAGAAGTATTTACACTAATAGAGGTTGTGGGAGACAACAACAAGCCCAGGGATGTGTTAACTACACATCACTGCAAGATACTCAGAATTATTTGGATTTGATTAGGGGTACGATAATTATTCTTAATGACTTAGCTAGAGTCTATTTGGTAATAATGTAGAAATTTTACGTTATTAATGTTATTGCCTTGAAAGTAGTAAATAAACGCGGTTGAGACGTGTGTATGTATTTCCTAATGAGTGGCAAAATAGTAATATTACACCCTCGAGAGTTGTTGCTTACTTATCGAGACAACGATGATTTATCAGTATTGCGGGCTGCAGACCGTAATATTAATAACTTATTCGTGGATTCGTTAAGCAAGTAAATCGGTAGGTTATCCTATGTTAGTATCGTACTTATTCAGAGTGCTCAGTATTAGTAGAGTATGTATTGTTGCTAGCTACTTTTGTTCCATTAGATCGTAGATTTCGATGTTATTCTAGAGCATATTATGTTATATACAGTGATGAGTTGCAGACCACGCGAGGTGGTACTGAATGTATGCAAGATATACATGATACGATGAGTTAATTATGAGTTATATATGCAGCCGAGGGCTGAGTTGATTAGAATGAAAGAGTATGAGCTATGTTTATAGCTGAATGTTGACTGGATTATATGTTATTTTCCATCGGTCTGGATGACTAGAGATTACTTTTGTAAGTATGCAAAGTGGAGTAAGGCAGGCCGTTATTTATGCTGTGAGAGCAAAGAGATTATTATCAAAAGGCTGCCAAGGATATTTATCTCATGTGGTGCTAAATGATGTCACTACTAGTAGTGTGGAAGAAGTGGGAGTAGTCAAACATTTACCTGACGTTTTCCCTGAGAATTTACCTGGATTGCCGCCAGTCAAAGATGTAGAGTTCACTATTGATTTGTCTTCAGGTACAAACCATATATTATAGAATGTTACCTTTTGAACTAAGAGAATTGGAAATTGGTTGATAAAGGTTTTTATTTAACCTAGTGCATTACGTTGGGGGAACCCCAGTTTATTGGTGAGAAAGAAAATGGACGTTAAGGCTGTGCTTTGATTATAAGCAGTTGAATCGAGTAACAATTGAAAACCGTTATTCGTAACCTCACATTGATGGTTGTTTGATCAGCTTCTAGGTGGTTGTATATTTTCTAAGTTTGACTTGAGGTTTGGATATTATTAGTTGAAGATTATCGGTGAAGATGCCCTTATGATAACTTTCAGGACTCGTTAAGGTCATTTTAAGTTTTGGTGATGCCATTCGGAGTGACGAATGCATCTACTACTTTATGAATTTGATGAATGAAGTATTCCAATGATATCTAGACCGATTTGTTGTTGTTGTTATTGAAAAGATTGATAAGACTAGATCAAAGTATGCTAAACATCTTAAATTGGTATTGCAAAGATCGAAGGAACGTCGATTGTATGCTAAGTTTAGCAAATGCCAATGTTGGATGAATCAAGTAGCATTTTTGAGATATATTATATCTGCTTCAGGTATTCAAGTGAATTCATAAAAGGTAGCAGAAATTGAGAATTTAGAACAATCACGAATCGTGATTGGGATTTGGAGTTATCCTAGCTTAACAAGCTATCATGGACGGTTCGTGAAAGATTTTTCAGTCATTGCTTTGTCATTGACGAGATTGTTGAGAAAAGAGGTTATGTATGAGTGGGAAGGAAATTATGAGCAAAGGATTCAACAACTGAAGTATTTCCTCACTCATGCACGTATTTTAGTATTCCCAGAAGATAGTGGTAATCATAAATTTTAGTGATGTTTCTTGAATGGTATTGGATGCATGTTGATGCAAATGTTAGGGTGATTACATACATTTCACGACAAAAGGAACCTCATGAAATGAATTACCCTACTGGTGATTTGGAAGTCATGATTACCATTCTTGCTGTGAAGTTATGAAGACATTATATTTGGTAAGAATGCAAGATTTTTACGAATCCAAAAAGTCTCCAATATCCATTACTTGGAAGGATTTTGATATGAGACAGCGAAGATGGATTGAATTGTTTAATGAACATAATTGTACGACCAGGGTGATCGTAAAATTGTTCTAGCTGATGCACTTGGTGAAAAGACTGTGGTAGGAGTTGATGTCTGGCACGCTTGCCAAGATTATCTTCTTGTGGATTGGAAATCAACTGAAGTAAAGTTGAGAATGGAAGTTTGAGAAGAAGTTGTAATTGCTAATTTTCAAGTTAAGTCTTTTTAGTAAGGTCGTACTCAAGACTCAAATGGTTAACAAAGAAAATTAAGAATTAACCAAGGTAAAGAAAGAAGGGAAAAAGAAAGATTGCTGAATTTGAGAATAGGATGGTTATGATTGAACTTGAAGTGATAATTGATCAATGTACCAAGTTAGTACATTTACTCCAGTGTTGAGTAACAACCACAGTGCAACAGTACTTATATGTTTTATGGAGAAGAGATTTGGGTTACGGAACTGCTGAGTTTCTTAAGTATGTTGGTTGCACAGTTTCTAAAGTAACGCCATAAGGACCATGAAATGTGTCAATTTTTGTTGATTTGTGGAAGAAATACTTCTGGATAGAGAAGATTCGATCACGAAAGAGTTTTGGTAGGCCCTGAAACTATGGGTGAGTCTTCTCAAAGTATTCAAGTGATTAAGTTTAACCTGAGAGTAGCCAGGAATGGCAAAAGAGATTAATAGTTGAACATGTCACTAATCGAGTGTTTAACGTAGATGATCTTATAATTTTGAAGTTTTCACTTTAGAAAAGTATGATTCGGCTTGGAAAGGAAAACAAATTAAGTCCTAAGTACATCGGACTTTATGTGATCATCGAAGAGTAAGTGAAGTTGCTTGAATTACTTCTAGAGTTATTTTAAGAGCATGATGTGTTTCATGATTCAACATTTTTAGAAATTTCATCACGAAAAGAAATAGTGAGATTTGGAAAGGAGACAAAATAAGTCTTAAACACATCAGACCGTTTTTGACCACTAAAGGGATCGATGAAGTTGCATACAAGTGGTGATGTCTTCAAAATTGGCTAAGGTGCATAATGTATTATATTTCGATGTGTTGTCACTAGGTGGCAGATTCGTCACATGGAGTTCCGGTGCAACTGTTGAGAATTAATCCGGATTAAACTGGTTGAGGAACCAAGGACGACTTTGGATTGGAAAAAGAATGTATTGAGAATTAAGACAGTGTAATTGGTAAAGAATTTGCGAAGAAAGCATTCAGTGGAAGAAATTACGTGGGAGAATCGGATGAGAGAGATTTATCCGAAGCTATTGTATGAGTTTAGATGATTAAGTTGGTTGTTGGAATTTCGGGGACGAAATTCTATAAGGAGGGAAGGTTGTCACAACCCGTCCCGGAATTTTAATTCCGAGGACGTGAAGTTATGAAAATGCCCTTAAACGGGACTAAGGGGCGTAAAATATGTTGTAATTTGATGATTTGGGGATTGGGGAGGATCCCACCTCCCTCAAATCTCTCCCTCATTCCCGTGCCTTGTCTCTCTCTCTCTCCTCCCTCACAAATCTCTCATTCTCTGAGAGTTCTCTCTCTCTCCTTCGAACTCACACAGACCACCCACAAACCACCCCAAAACTATGCCAACGAAGGATCTAAGACCACCATCGTACTCCTGAAGACCACACGAACACGATGGTACCAATTTCAGGTGAGTTTCACTTCGGAAAACATGGATTTCAATTTCACTGTGCGTGTGCACTGTTCATGCACACGTAAAGATTGATGTTTTTTGGGATTTTGAAGCTTGTAGGAAGCTTGGTGAGGTCCTAAGGAAGCTCGGAGTGCTTCGTTTGAAGGATTTGGACATCGGGATCACGAACTGTAAGTTTGGCCGAATTTTCGTATTTTTGGAAAAGTTTGATTCCGTTGTTTTTAGGCCCTAAAACTAGTCCAACGTGGTAGATTATGATTAGGGCTTCATTTTGGTATAAATTACGTGAAAAATGGACGTAGGAACACGGAGAACGACAAGTTCAAAGTTTGGCCGGAGCTGTCGGGGCTTTTTCCGGCGAAACCACGGCGAGTTAGGGGTCGAGACAGGTATGGATGTGTTCGTCTCGTCAATACCTTCATTTTGATATATAGTACGTCGAAAATGGTTAAGAAATGAAGAAGTTATGACACTTTGAAATTTACCCAGAAATTCCGGCAAAACACCATCTCCGGCGAAACCAGTCCGGCGACGCGAGGAAGAAGATGCGCGCGTGGGCAGCGCGTGAACAGTGCGCGTGGGGGCGCGTGAGAGCTCCAAATTGAGTTCTGAAAATTGTCACGCGTTCGTGACGTCGTGTAGATCACCGTGGTATATTCATACACCCAAATTGAGCAACGTATGAGAAAGTTATGGACGAATGTTTGGTGTATGCGCGTTAAATAACGTCAATTTGGTTACTTTTTGTATAGGTGAAAATTATACAGAGGAAGAATGTAACCAAGCTAGGGGAGGTTCAGGAACCTATGAGACGCCGATGTGATCAGTGAGTGGGCAGTTATTTTTCAGTATATATATATATACGTATGCTTGACGTATTTCCCAGAAAACGTATTTTAAAAGAAATACGAATTAATTAACCTGTCATATATGCATCATATTTTAATATGTGCATTACCATAATTATGCATACTGTTGCATGGTGCTGAGGAGGCCCAGGTAAGCTACGATTGAAATACTATCATCACATGCATTAGTAGTGGCATATATTTATATATGTGTATTTAGTGCTGTGGACGCACAGGTAAGTGCCAGGTAAGTGGTATTCATGTTGTTATGCAGTAGTAGTTTGAGATGTTAGAGAGCTCATAATCTGCACCCCGGTGTTAGTGCTCCCGCCCAGGGCCAGGGCACAGTCCTTCACGTGATGTTCACCAGCACCACACGCTCGCCTTGGATCCAAGTGGGTGCAAGCCTTGTCGTACAGACCACATTAGGTGGTTCCGACTCGTAGGTGACCCGCGATTATTCGCACAGTCTTCACGTGATCGTAGCACTAGAGCGTATATATTACACCCAGTCTTGTCGTACAGACCACGTTAGGTGGTTCCGACTCGTGTGCAGATTCAGATATTGAGTTGAGATTGGAGCTCTATCTGCAGCCGTACAGGTCACGTTAGGTGACTCCCGGCTGCCAGATTATATGTTATTGATGTGAATTACGCTTGAGCACTTACATTTGATTATGAGTTTCCGTTGTGGCATATTCTCGAGCATGAATGGCATATTTATGAGCATGAATGATATATCTTTGAGCATGACTGGCATATCTATACATACGTATATATGTTATTTTCTGGGAAACTATACTTGTTTTACAGCGAGGGGTTAGTATATGCAAAAGAGAAAAGAAGGTTTTGAATACGTTCGTTTTGCTGACCCACTCAATTTTGTTTTGCGCCCCTCCAGGTTTAAGGAAATGCAAAGGTGTGGTGACTACGAGGAAATTCAACGGTGTTCTGACAGAATGGCCAAAAATTAGGACTCACCTTTGGGTGTTTCATCTTAGAAATTGTATCTTTAAAGCTTCCGTACTGTGTAAATGGTTACGTCACTCTCACGTGACGGCCAGCATGCCCTCCTTCGGGACGGGGTGTGTCAGGTAACCTGTTTTGACACGATAAGAAAAAAATTATTTTGATGATTTTAATTTTTTAAACTAGTAAAAAAGCTTACTATAAGATACAATAGATATAATGAATATGTATATATTGTTTATTAATTATTATTCTATATAAATTTTAACATTTAAGTTTTATTTATTTATTTATTTTTATAGTGTATTATAGGCAAAGATTGAGATTAAAAATCATAAAACACATTAAAATAAAAATATCAAGTAATTTAAAAATACCAAACACATTAAAAAAATTATAATAATTAATTTACATGTGCGAAAAATATGAAAAAAAATATGCAAACACTCGTAGTCACATCTTTTACATTTTGAGGATGGGTATATGATTGTTTGAATTTTTAAAACCATACAAACTCTCATGAATAGTATTTTTAAGGGAGTTCAAAATAAACAAAATTCATAATCATTAATGTATAAGTCTGAAAGATGTGAAAGCATAATAAACGTTTATAATTGCATCTTTAATGCTGAGACGATGATTACATGATCATTTAGATTTTTAAAACCCTCCAAATCTCATGAATAATGTTTTTTATTTGAGTGCAAAATTAATAATAATTATTGTAGACGTGTGAAAAATGTAATCACTCGTAACGAAAAGCGTTACAACTTTCATGAACGGGTAACGGGTCGGGTCATATTACCTGATAATATTAACGGGTTGATTTCGGGTCGGATCATATTATCCGTTTACTTTAACGGGTATTACACGACACAACCTGTTAAGCTATTTGGTACAAGACGAACATGAGAAACGATACTAATGTCAAGTCTAAGTGGGAACCACGCGCCGTGGTCGATCCACTGCTTGCTGTTGACGTCCGCGGGGCAGAAGCAAACGACGTAAGCAGCTGCTTGACACGGTTGGCGAGGTGGGGGGAGCCGGGGGCAGGGTACTTGAGCTGGTACATCGATTTGGGGAAGCCGTAGAAGTCGTAGATGGAGTCGTGGCGGCCGGAAATGGAGTTGACAATGGGGACGGCGGTCTCCCAGTGTGCGGAGATGATGAGAATGGAGGTGGGTTTGTGAGGATGATCGGTTTGGTTCCAAGGCTGGAGGAATTTTCTGGCCGGAATCGCATCGTCGATGCTGAGCGTGGGCGATCTGAGCGATAGGTAGCAAGTGTCCTTCACTGCCATAACAATCTTTTTCCTAATTCTTTGAAGATGGAATTACCAGAAAAACGAAAATCCAACAGCACGAAAATTTCTTTTTAGGATTAGTACTAGAACTCAAACAACGTTCCTGTCCATTAGAAGTGAAGTGACCAAATTGGAGGCCCTCCAATTGCTCTTGTCGTGCGTTTTTTCCGTCCTTTGCACAGCGGAAGGAGAGATTTGCCCTTGCTGCCCACGTCCAACTTTGGTACCTGCGGTGATGCAACTTTTGCTGCACTGCCAGGCCAAGTTGATGATGCTTCAGCCACTGACACGGCAAACTGTTCCTTTCAAGTCCAGGGGCTCGACATCCTATCAGTATCGATAGTTCTGGCAGGGATGGAGGTCATCATCTATCGGTCGTTCTACTACAATGAAAGCGATTATAAATTATCTTTTAAGGTATTTATCCGTCATTTTATTTTTAGTCATTGAATTGAATAATTCAAACCGTTTCAACTGACAAAATTAAACAGGAATGTGTGAAAGGTAAAAAAAATATGTATTTATCATTTCTCTTCTGAAAATTCGGACAAGGGAAAAACAAAAACTGAAAAAAGGAGGAAGAAAAAAGCTTCCTTTGCATTTAGGCTTCTCGACAGATAAACGCAGCATGGCAACTCGACCGAGAACAAGATTCAACCAAGACAAAACACCGATAGAAATCTTATAATTCTGCAGCAAAACGTTCCGACAATACACATACGATAGCAAAGCACAACTGCAAGATGTTTTAATATAACACATAGCAAACCAGCCCGAAGTTCTATTTATAATCAAAGCAGAGCAGTGTCAAAGTTAAAAGGGATAAGGATAATGAGAGTTCCATCACACAAGAAACATGGAATAAGCCTAAATGGAATTCTTCGTGAATCCGTAGCAAGGACACCCCGAAGACATCCCACTTCATGCATCGGTAGAAAGCACACACCGGAGGCATCCCCCTTCATGCATCAGATCAAATGCTTTGTTGATCTCACCAAGAGTCAAAGTGTGGGTGATGTATTCATCAACTTTGATTTCCTGCAAAGACGATGACGTAATGTTATACGCTATATAATTTGTTATAAAGGAATTCATATTGTTGAATATTTGTTAAAAATCATTTACCTTCTTCAAGTACTTTTCTACAAGCCATGGCACCTGCGAGCGGCTCTTGAAACCACCAAAGGCTGTTCCTTTCCACACACGACCAGTCACCAACTGAAACGGACGAGTAGAGATCTCCTGCCCTGATGCCGCAACACCAACAATAACAGATGTTCCCCAGCCCTGTAAATAATTTCAGTGACCTCAATATGCGTTTTATACACAAAAATTCGAGAAGCAGTCATAAAAGCACTCACCTTGTGGCAGCACTCCAAGGCAGCCCTCATCACCGAGACATTTCCAATGCACTCAAAACTGTAGTCAACACCACCATCAGTGAGATCAACAAGGACTTGTTGGATTGGCTTCTCGTGGTCCTTTGGATTCACAAATTCAGTAACTCCAAAGTTCTTTGCTGCAAATAAGAAATTGCAATAGAATGTCAGCTTTAAACTGTTTATAAAAATCTTGCTGAATGAATCCGAGATACTGCTAATGAGAAAAGTTATTAAAAACACAAGCTGAGGATCTTTTGATAGGCTTTGTTCCGTCTTTTATGACAAGTTAAATGACCTAAGAAAAAGAATCCAATGTGCAGGAAATAAAAGTATTAATACAGTAATACTACAAAAGGTTGATTTCAGGTGCAAGATTATGTGATGGATGAGCGTGAATGTGATCCATTCTGACTATCATGATCCACACGAACTAGTTTCCTAATGCTTTTCCTTCCTTATTCCCATAAAAGTAGAAGTCAACTTTTTCTCTCGTTCACTAGGTGATACCAGCTTTGTCACCAAGCATGTAAAACCAGAGCTCTTCCATACATAAACAGTCATTTACAAGACACTATATAGTATAGTAAGGTTTTAATATGGAGAACTTAATATGTACCTGTATCAAACTTTTTGCTGTCAATATCAATGCCAATGATCCGCGATGCACCAGCTGTTTTGGCACCTTCTGCAACCTGTCAAGTTATGACAATTACTTCGTTACAGTTTAGAATTCAGCACAAGATTATTAACTTAAGGTTCGATTACAAACTTACAGCAAGACCAACAGTCCCAAGGCCAAAAATAGCAACGATTGATCCCGCTTCTACCTTTGCTGTGTTCCAAACAGCTCCAAGACCTAGTGTATGTCACACGCAGGGACACACATGAATAATCTAGATAGAAGCATAAGATAAGTCATACATCATACATGCCATAACCATAGAAAAAAAAAAGAGTCATTACAATCTTCTTTCTTTTTCCAGATAAAAAGAAAGAGGCTATTTACTAGGAAAGCGGTGATGAAAATTCCAAACCCTAATCTATCAATATAACCAGTTATAGAATTCAATATTAACAAACAATTATGATTAAGAAGTATGCTTTAACAAAAGTTGAAATACATTCACCGGGCCTAGCTAAAAAAGTACTATTATCCTTACCAGTAGGAACACCACATCCAAGAAGACAAACTTTCTCCAATGGAGCTTTTGGGTCTATCTTTGCAACACTAACATCATGAACAACTGTGTACTGGCTAAACGTTGATGTTCCCATAAAATGATAGATAGGTTTTCCGTTTATAGAGAAACGGCTTTTGCGATCACTCATCATGACTCCAACTCCAGTGGCAGCACGTACTTTCCCACAAAGATTTGTCTTCCCTGATTTGCAAAACTTGCATTCTCCGCATTCTGCCTGGTAACAAGGGATGACATGGTCTCCTGGCTGAACTATAGTAACACCTTCACCCACGCTCTCAACAATACTGCATCAAGATGAGTGGAGCCCTTTCAGCATCAAACACACAACAAACCATTGATACAAGACACTACATGGATAAGTAACATACCCTGCAGCCTCGTGACCAAGAATACAAGGGAAGAGACCTTCAGGATCCTACAAGGTAAATTAAGTAAACTCAGTGTACAGTTCCCTCTAAATAACAAAATTTTTTAAAAATGAACAAACGGAACTATCAACTAGATGCTGCAATTTAAAAAATTTCAACTTGGCAACACTATTAATAATTCAAGCTACTTCCAACCATCCCAAGAAACCTAATAAGTTTTCATAACTATTATGAAGTCAGTCCTATTAGAACGCGCACACTTTAAATATATTCATCGGTCAGAGTTGATTTCCAGATATTCTTTAGAACGCCTCCATTCGCAACTTGGTACAATAACTGCTACACAATATCTCTACACAACAGTAGGAAATTGTAAACTTCAAAAGTTCGATTAGATGTCTAAGGGCCAGTAATTTCAAGCTTCAAAACTGAAACAACAACAAAAACTCGATAAATAACCATCCCATTTGCTGAAACTCACAATAATCGCCGCCTAATCCACCGAATACTAGAAAAACTTAGACAATGCATTATCATTTCAACCAAACAAAGATAACAATTTATATAAACAATCCAAGCAAGTATAAATTTTATCGAACCGACTCAGGAGGAGAAATGAACGAAGCTTGTACCTTGCCGCCCCAGGTATAAGCGTCGGTGTGGCAGAGAGCAGTGTAGAGAATCTTGACGCGGACCTCTCCGGCCTGCGGCGGAGCCACCTGCACGTCTTCGATCACCAACGGCTTATTGGGTTCCCAGGCCACCGCCGCTTCGCATTCCCAATTTCAATTTCACCCAAAAAAGCATTACCCACAAAACTTATTCTCAATCACAACCAACCATTTCACTGTAAATACATATACAGAAAGATACATACACATATATACATATAAAAATCAAGATGAGAGAGAGTACCTTTGCAAGTGATCACTTGACCTTGAGTAGCCATGGATTAGACTGAAACCACAAAAGCGAAACGGAGAGAGACGGAGAGAGAGACAGAGAGAGAGAGAATGAGAGGATCGGAATATATCAACCTGAGTGTTTGTGGGGAGTGTACAAAACGATATCTAATGAAATAGTAATGGATGATAACTGACCGCACAATATATTACGGAATCTCCAGAAAATGAATCTAGCGATGATCCTTTCCCCCAATGAACTACTGATCCGGGGTCAAACCAGGGCCTGGACTTAAACCGGTCTTTAGTATCCGGTTTATTTCTCCGGGGCGATACAACTTGTTGGGTTGCAAGAAAAACTAGGGAGTACTTATGTGGGTTTAATGAAAGCTCAACGTCTTTGAGCTCATGGATACTTCATTGGGTCCATGAGATTTTTCTTCCAATTGACCAAACCCATAATTAAAAGAAAGAGAGGCTCGTTGTACTTTTAAGGTGTGTTTAATGAAAGCTCAACCTCTTTGAGCTCATGGATACTTCATTGGGAGCATGAGATTTTCCTTTCAATTGACCAAACCCATAATTAAAAGAAAGAGAGGATCGTTGTACTTTTACAGTGTGTTTGTTGTGCCATATTATCTCGGATTGAACTAATTTCAAGGACTAAGTTGGACTGACTTGGCTTAGAATAAGCAGGATAAGAATAATGAAGTATTTGGTGCAATGCCGAACTAGGTACTAAACTAAAATATTTTTTTAGCTCAAAAAAATTAATTTCAATTTTCTTTTGTTTTATTATTTCACTCTTTAACTATTGCACCCCTCACTCAACAAAATGCAATACAAACACCGAACTTCACAAACAATCATCCACTCAATCAATTGTTCAAAATTGACGATCTGATAAAGTAGTAATATAATCTGATGCATGCTAAAAACTCTATATCAATTTATAGAAAAATATAAAAAGACGGTATTTGATTTACATTTTTTTTTTTTTTGGTGAACTAGAAATTATATAACCAGGGCAAAGATGCCAAAAATTACAACTAAAGCCCATAGCAAGGCAAGCAACCAAATTAACAAACCAGGAAGTGCAAGGGGAGAGAAGAAACCCAACGCAGCAAGCAAGCTATAAATGTCACCCCTTGCACAACCAGTACAAAGTTAAGGCGGGCAAGGTAATCCATCGTTGTTTAGGACATGAACAAGTGAAGATGAGGGTCTATCGACCCAAGAAAAGTCACACATCTCCATACTTCTTCGCAACGCCAATTGGTCAGTTGCCATATTGGCTGATCTTGGAATCCAAAACCAACAACAGCTATGAAAGGATTCCCTGATTTTCTTGCACCTCGCAAAGGTTGGAAAAGCCTCTCATCTGCCATTTGTTATCTTTCCCCGCATGCAAGAAATGGAATCCAAGGAATCAGATTCAACAACAACGTGGTTCAAACCCAAGGATAAACCCAAGCCACACCCACGTAAAACAACCATCACCTCTGCAGCAGCGACGCTATTAGCATTGAAACGGTATCTCCGAGCAGCAATGAAACTGCCAGAAGAGTCCCTCACCACATCTTCTGCAAATCCATCATTTGTGGCAGCCAACTAGCTCACATCGACATTAATTTTTACAAAATGATGGCTCGGCTTCATCCAACGTGCCTGCACAGGGTTGCCATGTCTGTTATGCACCACGCTCATAGTGGGAGCCTGCAAAGCCTCTAAGAAAGCACTGACATTTATGGATATTACCGCCAACACCTGGGACAAGTTGATTTGTTGTTGTTGGAAGAGGAGGCAGCGTCTAGCTTTCCAAATATGCCAACATGAGAAAGCAACAAAAGACAGGATCCTCTCTATGTCGGGCTTCAAGTTTTCATTGGCCTTGATAATTGCAAAAAGCCAATTCGTCCACGTTGTAATCTCATTCATGTTTATCTTGTAGTTTAGAACTCCACCAAACCATATAGTTTCCACCGACGGACACAGGTGAAGAAGCATATTTCAGTTTATAGAAAGCCGCCATTGTGGCCAGGGCATTATGCATCATTGATAAGCTCATATTTATATATTTTTTACATCAAATTCACTTGTCTTTTCGTAGTTAATTCCTTATATTTTTGAGCTATTTACTTTGTTTTTATGTTTTGAAGGATTTGTTAAGCAAAGAAAAGAAAAATATCACAAGTGGGATTTTAAGTAACAAATTCGTCAAAAATGACTGTGCAGGTCAACTGACTTTGGAAGCAAGTTGCGGACAGATCAGAATGAATTAGATAATGAGCCTTATATGTTTGGAAAGCTATGGATGTCTATTTTCTGGAGCATTTCACGGATTGCTAATATAGAAGAAGTTATGGCCATTTTAACACTGAAAGGTTTCCAAGAGGCTGAGCAGTTTGTGACTGACAAGAAAGCATTGAAAGCAATAAATCCAATACATCTAGCAGCCAAAACTGATGCAGCCAAGAACAAACCAGCTGACACCTATTCAAATATAAAAGGAAATGGAATTAAAGATGAAGATTAAGTGGGAGTAATTGGTATAAAGGCTACCCAAGGAGTTACAATTGTTTTACCATTTCCTCTTACTTATTGTCATCACTAAATGGCTATTAGTGGGTGAGTTAAGGAGAAGAAAATGATGCAGCAAGAATTGGTTTAAAAGTAGTGTTGGGGAAGGAAGGAAAGAAGAGGCCTCAGTCGATTTCTTTCGGTTCTATTTTCTCAAACTCATGTCTATCTTTTGTTTTAACTTAAGGATTGTGTAACTAAATTTTTAGTAGTTAGGGGCTGTTTTGAAGCCCTGAATATGATTGCAAGTTTGTTATGACATTTCGTTTGAATTACTTTTATGAATGGATGAAAATTGGTTCACTACTTGTCTTGTTGATGAATTCTTTATGTGTTTTCTACGGATGCATACTTAGTAAGCATATCTAAGATTCTAATGCTATGAATATGTGTGTGTCTGCCCTTATCGAATGAGGACCTACATATATTCTAGAGTAGTACTTGTTAATTGCGATTAACATATGAATCAATTTCTAGGATAAGTAAGACAACGCCAGTACTTACGATGCCTTGTGATGACTCAAACTCTTTTTGTTCTTAATGATTTTTACTTGTTAAATCTATGAACACGCCATTCTAAATTGCATGTTAAGGACTAAGTTAAGTTGAAAACGTCATTCTCTTAACATACTACACAAGAAAGAGTAATAGGTTGACCTCTAACATTGAGCCAACTTGAGCATCTTCATCCAGAAATAGAAAGAATTTGAATGAAACATAACATGTTTGCATGATTATTTGGTGGTGGATAGCAATTCCCCTAACTCGTTTTTCTTAATTTGTGAACTACTTAAAATCTATTTTTGTCCTTTTTTGTTCGATTTAATTTAAATAGAAAATCAGCTCCAAAAATCCCAAAAATTTGTGTGAGTCTAGTATCTGCATATAAAATTTCATAGACTTTAGATAAGTGTAAATCGGTCTAATAATTATTTTTCGGTGGGTGGCCAATAGGGACAGCAGCCCAGTTTTTGTGACATTTTAAGTAGTTAGATAAAATAACTTTCTGCGGGAAAGACCCTTATTTTCATATGCTACAATTGATAAATCTTAGTTTTAATAAGGAAAATCAATAGGACATTGTGTACTACTTTGTGGTGTGCTTTTAATCCTATTAATCGTCTTCCACATGAAGCACGGGATTTTTTTGGGAGGTTTTCAGCTTCCACACCAACTTCCATAATGAATCCGGGATGGTTATAGATGATGAAGATCTGGGGTTGATCCTTGGAATCACCCGTGAATACGCCTAGTGGTAGCTCGACTTTACTGAGTATAGCCCTTTTTTATCTAGCGGCCATACCAACTTATCCCGGAGAATGGGGTCGCCAACATGAGTTTCAGGATTATATCAAACTCTACTGTCGAAATGAACAATTTTAAAAATTCAATATCCCAATCCCCACTTGCTTGGTTAATTAAGGATTCCAATGTGGTGTTGCAGCCGACTTGCACCAACCCAGTAAGGAGAGGGTGTCCGACCGAAAAGGATGGCAGCCATCTATCGCTCCAAACCTGAATCTTCTTCCCATTCATGATCTGCCAATGGGTTCCCTTAAGCGGAATGTCTCATCTCGTAAGCAAACTGGACCACGACGAAGATGCTTGGCTTCCACGCTTGGCATCCATAAATGAACAGTGAGGGAAGTACCGAGCCTTCAGAACCCTCGCCCATAATGAATCAAGTTCTTGGATTAGACGTTAACATTGTTTCGCCAAGAGGGCATCATTAAAATCCATGAAGCATCTGAACCCAAGCCCCCCTTTAGCCTTCGAGAGCCCGAGAGTATCCTTGGAGGCCCAATGAATGTGTTTCTCCTCCCTATTATGCCCCAACCAGAAATTAAAGATCAAAGAGTCCATTTATTTGCAAATGGTGGCGGGAAATTTGAATAGGTTCATCGGACAGGCCGGGATAGCCTGAACCACAGCCTTAATCAAAACCTCTATACCCGCCTGTGATAAGGTTGCATGTTTCCATCCTTGAATTTTTCCCAAGATCCTCTCCTTGACATAAGCAAGTCCTTTGCTTTTGGACCTCCTCCACATGGCAGTCACTCCGAGGTAAGTCTTTGGCATCCCAAGAATACTACCAAGCTTATCCGATAAGGTCGGGACATTAACACTGAAGAACACACTAGACTTCTGGAGGTTCACATGCTGTCTAGAGGCCTCACAATACTTCTTGATTAAATTCACTAGGTTGTTGCACTTCTTCTTTTCTGCTTTTATAAAAAAATAGGGTGTCATCTGCGAAGAAGATGTGGGAAATAACAGACCCGTATGGATTAATTTGAACCCTCGTAATCAGCTTTTTTTTCACTAGTTCACATAATAAGCAGGGAGATGACCTCACTTACCAATAGGAAAAGATATGGGGATAATGGATCACCTTGACGAAGGCCACATGAAGGAGCAAACTTTTGTCCAGGTTAACCATTTAGCATAATGGCCAAATCAACCGATGAAATACATCTGAGGACAAGACTGCGCCAATTTTGACCAAACCATATCCTCTCCATGACTGCCATTAAGAAATCTCATTCCACCCTATCATAAGCCTTGTGCATGTCTAATTTGACTCCGAGTTCAAATTTT